AGGTTCAATTCCAGTCAAGGGCATGTACCTCGGTTGTGGGCACATCCCCAGTAGGGGGCGTGCAGGAGGCAGCTGATCGATGTTTCTCTCTCATCATTGATGTTTCTAACTATCCCTCTCCCTCTCTGAAATCAATAACGATATATTAAAAAGAGAGAGAGAGATCAGGAGGATGTGAAGGGGCCACTCTATATAGAAACAGTTTATTGGAGACAAGGTACTGCTGCCTTCCTTTTATGGAAGTTCTTTCAGACACTGCATCATGGTTTCTCAAAGTACAGTACAAGCAAGATATTCTGTATCAGAATCACAATGCATGTTAACAATGCCAGTTGCTGGGACACAACCAAGTAGGCTGGGAATCAGTGTATTAACATTTGAGAGCCACTGACACCAATCGTTTGTACAGTTTCTATTGTTATGATCACAATAAGACTAACATGAATTTATGTGCTAATCCAGAATTCAAAGCCCTGTCAAGTTTACTCTCATTAACTACATTATTATGAGTTATTATTGTTCCCACTACTTTCATATAATCCCCAAGACTGTGATGTGGGTTATTTCCACTTTTGTAAACTTAAACAAGCTAAATGTTAATTCAAGCTCAACTGCACTAATTATTTTTCCTCAAAAGGAATGAATACATGTCAGTAATTTGAAGTGCTGATACTTTCTGAATTCATGGTGCTTGCACTCATCTGAAATCATGGCCAACTTTTCAGTGGGGACCCTACTCAGATGTTTGGTGCTTCCTCACAAGTCTCATGCTACAGGTGAGTTAGCATTTCTCATGGCGTGGATTTGACAGCCTACCTGATGAAACAAAAGGGCGTTAATGTCCTTTGAGAAGTGAAAGGAGCTGTCGTCCAATTTCAAAACCCTACCATCAAAATTAGACAAGGAAAAAGTTGTGAGTGAAGAAACTGGCTCGTGTATTCCTACTTCATTCTATAAATTCCTTTCTAATCTACACAGGGAAAACAGCTGCACTTCTTGCTAAAACATCAATTTTGCCATTACCTTACACAGTGGGTTGAACAGGAGACATTTAATAGGAAGAATGATTAGGTTCTGGTAAAGGAGTGCTAGGGCGTATAAGGCATTTGATATGACACCCTGCATCCCAAGGAGACCGCCTAAGGAAAGACTTGGACAGGGGCCGCTGCCACGGCTGAGTTTAGACCTTCCCACGGAGTCAGCCCCTGGCAACAGACGTTCCTTGATTTGCCCAGGCCAGCGCTGGTCTCAGTGCCTGGGCAAGCAGAAAGCACCCCCGGAGAGTGCAAACGGTGCATTCAGCAACCAACCGCGGGGACCTGCACAGGTAGTGGGGGCCTGCGGAAGGTGACTGCTCAGTGGAAACCCTTGGAGTTGCAGGTGATCTTTGCCTAGCGAACAGGTGTTGGCAGATGCCTTTGGGGCACTGATGCGAACAGGAATCCAACAGGGTGTGGGTTTCTAGTCTGCAGGACTGAGTGGAGGTTCTCTCTTACCGGGGAAACCTGTGCTGGGGGC